ATATATTATATAATATATTATAAAGAGCTTTTATAACAGGAAACCTTTCTGCTACAGCGTCAAACTTCAGTAGCATGCGAAGTGTTATAATAATGTTAACACTACTGATGTATCGTTTTGTCTTTGTTTTTGATGGAAAGTTTTCAATAACACATTTATAATAACGCATTTAATATAATTTTGTAAATACCGTATAGTGTATACGTATTTTATTAAAACACTTAAGACACGGTAATTTTAAAAAGTTAAGTAAAGCATAAACATATTGAAGACAATAACGTTATTTTTGGAAACGATCATTATCGGTAATTCATGTTTTCATCAAAAGATATTACAACATTAGTGTACGAACCTCAACAAAGTCTTGTGTCTTCCAGTGGTTTGCCTTGTCTTGCAAATAAAGAGGATTTAAACCGTCAAAAAGTGAATGATAAACACCGAACCTAATATCAGTTTTCTTCCGTATTGAGTTTGCTAGATCTCCTTAAAAGAAAATAAGAAGTTTATACAAATAAATATTTAACTTCCGCAGATAAATAGTTGTTATTTCTAACCCTAAATATGTTTAAATAATCTAGTGATAACCTACATTCTTCACGTAGTGATATTAAAAACAGTTTTAATAATTTAGTGTAAACCTACATTCTTCACGTAGTGATATTAAAAACAGTTTAAATAATCTAGTGATAACATACGTTCTTCACGTAGTGATTTTAAAAATAGTTTAAATAATCTAATAATAACCTGCATTATTCACGTAGTGATATTAAAAATAGTTTCAATAATCTAGTGATAACCTACATTCTTCACGTAGTGATTTTAAAAATAGTTTAAATAATCTGATAATAACCTGCATTATTCACGTAGTGATTTTAAAAATAGTTTCAATAATCTAGTGATAATCTACACTCTTCACGTAGTGATTTTAAAAACAGTTTAAATAATCTAATGATAATCTACACTCTTCGCGTAGTGATTTTAAAAACAGTTTAAATAAACCAGTGATAACCTGCATTATTCACACAGTGATTTTAAAAACAGTTTAAATAAACCAGTGATAACCTGCATTATTCAAGTAGTGATTTTAAAAATAGTTTAAATAATCTAATGATAATCTGATTCTTCACGTAGTGATTTTAAAAACAGTTTAAATAATCTAATGATAACCTGCATTTTTCACGTAGTGATGTTAAAAACAGTTTAAATAATCTCATGATAACCTGCATTCTTCACGTAGTTATTTTAAAAACAGTTTAAATAATCTAATGATAACCTGCATTCTTCACGTAGTGATATTAAAAACAGTTTAAATAATCTAGTGATAATCTACACTCTTCAAGTAGTGATTTTAAAAGCAGTTTAAACAATTTAATGGTAATCTACATTCTTCACGTAGTGATTTTAAAAACAGTTTAAATAATCTAATGATAACCTACATTCTTCACGTAGTGATTTTAAAAACAGTTTAAATAATCTAATGATAATCTGATTCTTCACGTAGCAATTTTAAAAACAGTTTAAATAATCTAGTGATAACCTGCATTCTTCACGTAGTGATTTTAAAAGCAGTTTAAATAATCTAGTGATAATCTACACTCTTCACGTAATGATTTTAAAAACAGTTTAAATAATCTAGTGATAACCTACATTCTTCACGTAGCAATTTTAAAAACAGTTTAAATAATCTAATGATAATCTACATTCTTCACTTAGTGATTTTAAAAACAGTTTAAATAATCTAGTGATAACCTACATTCTTCACGTAGTTATTTTAAAAACAGTTTAAATAATCTAATGATAACCTGCATTCTTCACGTAGTGATATTAAAAACAGTTTGAATAATCTAGTGATAACCTGCATTCTTCACGTAATGATTTTAAAAGCAGTTTAAATAATCTAGTGATAATCTACACTCTTCAAGTAGTGATTTTAAAAGCAGTTTAAACAATTTAATGGTAATCTACATTCTTCACGTAGTGATTTTAAAAACAGTTTAAATAATCTAATGATAACCTACATTCTTCACATAGTGATTTTAAAAACACTACATTCTTCACGTAGTGATTTTAAAAACAGTTTAAATAATCTAGTGATAACCTGCATTCTTCACGTAGTGATTTTAAAAACAGTTTAAATAATCTAATGATAATCTGATTCTTCACGTAGCAATTTTAAAAACAGTTTAAATAATCTAGTGATAACCTGCATTCTTCACGTAGTGATTTTAAAAACAGTTTAAATAATCTAATGATAATCTGATTCTTCACGTAGTGGTTTTAAAAACAGTTTAAATAATCTAGTGATAACCTACATTCTTCACGTAGTGGTTTTAAAAACAGTTTAAATAATCTAGTGATAACCTACATTTTTCATGTAGTGATTTTAAAAACAGTTTCATTCACGTGATATCAGTAGAGGTGTAGCGTCAAGAAAAATGATGGAATAAATCGTTACCATTGAAAGGGAGTTTATGAATTCATTACACGTAGGAACGTTACAGGAAAAAGCTGTGTATCTATATTTCTTCCAAAAGGAGATTGATAAATGTCAGTTTGAATTTTCTACTTCAATATAAGAACTCGTTATAAGTTATTGTACAAGTCTATGATTATTTATTGTTAATAAACTGTTGCAAAAATTAGATTTATTCAATATATTCTATACACTATGTGTTATCTCGGAATTAAGGCAGGAGTTTATTTCGTTTCATGATATCTATCTGAGATCTTATTGTTACAGAGCTACTAGAGATTGATAAACGTTTAATTATTACAGTTCACTAACGAGTTTTCAGTGAAGTCCAATGATCATGGCATTCTAGCTGTAGTTTCAATTGTTACTATTTATTAACAATTGTTCGCTTAAATCTAATGACAAAAGCATTCCAGTATTAACTTTCGGTTGCTACTATACTTACTAACAAGTTATCGTTTACATCCATTAATAGAAACATTCAATATAAACTTTCAAATGCTTCAGTTACCAACAAGATCACGTTTAGGTCCAATGTCCACAGCATTCCAGTTCCACGATGTTTTGGATGGCCAAAGTGTATAACCGTCATGATGTTTTGTTGTTAAAACAACATACCTGAAACAGGTTTAGTCTAACATTTACACTTTCTTAATTCAACATAGGATATTATTAAAAACACTTCCTTCATAAAAAAGAAACTTCTTTTCCAGACGATTGCTCTTGACTGCAACATTGAAATTAATGAAATACTAGTAATTAAGTTTTACTAAAAAAAAAATGTTGTTGCTCACTTTGTTAATGTTAACTGATGTACATCGTTTGGCTCCATTTATCAATACATCCGTATAGTACACTATTACATACAAGTTATAGCATTATGTGAAACTTATTAATTGTTGAGCATTATGAAAGTTTAAAAGTGATTATAACAATTGAAATAAATTACCCAACAGACACAAGAAAAACCTTGCTCACTTTGAACTCAGTGAAGTGTGGACCAGCTTAAAAAACACTGAAGCTTGCTAGTTCTTTTTTTTTTCTCTCAACGTCATAATTCTTGCTGGTATTTATAAATTTTTTGACATATTACAATTGCTACTAAAATCATTCCAAGCGAGTCCTCGAGTTAAAATTTTGAGTGTCCTTCTAAGACCCTTGAGAAACTGAGCTATGACTTAGAGTTACTATAAATCCATACAAAACCCTAGATCAGCATTTTATAAACCTTATTCTTGAGTGAACCATTTTGAAACATAAACCTTATGCAACCCTAACAGCACCCAAAACAACATAACAACCAACATAAAAGGTTACGACCAATAGTTACTGTAAGAAATTTCAAGATCAGTAAAAGGATGTGTTCTAGTTTACTATAAGTCCTTCCAAAATCAGTAAAAGGTTATTATTTAGATTTACTATAAGTCCTTCCAAAATCAGTAAAAGGTTATCATTTAGATTAACTATAAGTCCTTCCAAAATCAGTAAAAGGTTATCATTTAGATTTACTATAAGTCCTTCCAAAATCAGTAAAAGGTTATCATTTAGATTTACTATAAGTCCTTCCAAAATCAGCAAAAGATTATCATTTAGATTTACTATAAGTCCTTCTAAGGTCACACAGAAATTACGACATTAGTTAAAATGTGTCTTTTAAAGCCTGAAAGTAGTCTTTGATCAATGGTTATAATAAATGTTTCAAAGAGTGGAAGAAAGATACAATCTGCAGTTAGCATAAGAAGAGCGTCCTACTTTTGATCTTTTATCTATGAAGCAGCTTAAAAGAGTTAGAATAGGTCAAAGAACTGGAAAAAACTAAGGTCTAGAGTTACAGTGTATATCTTTGTGGAGAATGAAAAGCTGTGAGAGAGTTAACTCACTTTCTTCACAAGGCAAAAACAACAACAAAAACTATGAACTATCATAAGTACTTTAGAGACCAAAAGAAACTGTTGTATTAGCATGCAACTCGTACAGGACAGAAGAGATCCTGATTAGATCATAATAAACGTCATTAGTTTAAAGTAAATCAACTAGAAGTTTTACTTACTTTGCACCTGAAGCACTGAAAATATCTGTCCAATGATCCGGGTCGTAAAATTCACACGTGAACTGGGAAGCGAATTCTGGATATGTAAAACCTGGCTTGTAGTTCTTATGCATAAACTCGACAATTTTGGGGTCTTTTTCAATGACCCACATATACCAGAACCAGGCGGGTCCATAGCTTGGCACAGAATAGACTCCCCAGTGAAGAAATAGTCCAATTTTGGCTTCATCAAACCAGGTCGGTAAAGGCCTGCTATCCAAAGATTTCCAGTTTGGCTCATACTGACTGATGGACAGATCAAGCAGCGGAACAAAAACAAACGCCGTTAACAACCATCTAGGCTTATCCATCCTAAGAATTAGATTCAGCGTCACACAACAGAAAATTGGTATAACAAACTTATTGAAAAGAAATATATTTTATATCAATATATATATATATAATTATTTATTATTTAACCTTATCACCATACGTGTTGATAACAGAAGGGTAATAAATTTTTTAATGTAATTATTCATAACCATATATAGGAAAATTACATACATATCATAGTTGCCGCTTTGTAAGCTAGATGGCAGCAGTGAAAACTTTGGTGTATATCTAAAGACATACGTAGAGATTTGACGTAGTGAAGTGCGCTGATGGCGAGGTGTTTTTCGCTATACGAAATCTAGTTTTTGTAAAGAGGTTATCGTTATAATGGTAATCTTTACATTCTTATGTAGACAATCCAAAGCCGCTGATTTGGTGTATCTATTTATTCAAGTTTTGTAAGAGGTTGAATAAACACGTTATCACTCTTTCTAGTTATCACTTCAATCAACATACGGATCATAAGATAGAAAGATTGCTCTTGTAAAAAATGATTGCTTGTATCTACATCAGAAGAAACAATTCTGGACATGACAAAGAGCCCTTGATCCGTAACTACATTTTAAGTAAACAGGAAATTAATCCCAAGTAGGTCACGAAATAAAAAATATAAAAGATTATTAGAGCAAGAATCACTTGTCGATAAGAATATTTGAGATTCTTCCTAAGCTAATATTTAGCTACTTTTGCTGGTGTTATTTCTAAGCTTATTTCTTTTTATTATTATCTTGCACTTAAAACCTTTGATTGTTAAATGTTTACAAATAAAGTGTGATATTAAAAGTTTTTGGGAGCAGCTTTTCTGTATTTGTTTGTAATTAAGCACAAAGCTACACAATGGGCTATCTGTGCTCTGCCCACCACGGGTATCGAAACCAGGTTTCGAGCGTTGTAAGTCCGCAGACATACCGCTGTGCCACTGGAGGCACTTTTCTGTGACTTTTCAAAGTTAACTGCTATAGAGATAGAGGTAATTCGACACTCTTTCATACAAACTAACGTTAGCACAAAAGCCAATCATAGCGTAGAATTTTGAATAACAATACGTCAAATTCATATGAAATAAATATAAGTCAGAGAAAGCAATAGTATTTTTATAGGTTTGAGGCAGAGTGATTTATCTGGTCTCAGAAATATAAGGGTCAAGTGCACCCCTAGTGTTTCGCGTGGACTGTGATATGAGATTCCGTGGTTCGTGTCCCGTTACTGTAAAACATCGCTCTCCGCACTTTAGTGCCGTGAGTGCATTGTAAGAGTGACGGTCAAGTCCCACTATTCAGTCTGACTAGAGTTGGTGTTGGAATGGCTGCTTTCTCTTTAGTCTATAACTTCAAACTGAGGGATGAGTAGCTTTGCGCGAAATTCAGCAAATAGGCAAAATTCAGAAATGTTTAAATATAATATTTTTTGTTTTACTTTTATGCTGGACATAAGAATATCCGTTTAACCAATAACAGTAGTAAATAAAACACCATTTTTGATATAAATAATGTCCTCTGGTGTGTCAACGATAAGTTTACAGACTTACATTATTAAAATCGGGGGTTCAATTACTGCGGTGGAAAGAGAACAAATAGTAAATAATGAAATTTCTTCGTGAAACTGTAACATATTTTACATAAATGTAGTAGAAACTGTTTGGTAATTTTTGCACTTTCGGACTTTACTTGAACTGGAGGCAGACAGAATTTCAAATAGCCTTCTAAAAAATATAAAAGAATTTATGTTTACAGAACTAGAATTTAAAATATTTTAATAAACAAAGTTTTGCGGAATTTGATTATATCGCAGGTATGATTTGAAGAAGATCGGATCAGGTTTTGACTGTGCGCGGAGCGAGGTGAAGTGACCAACTGTGTAAGTTAGAGGTAACTGAGAGAGAGACATCTGACTCCACGCCATTTTATGCTCAATCTAGCAAACTGAGCACGTGAAAGTTTCGTGATTCCCTGGTGTAGCAGGTGAGAATGGGAATGAAGTAAAAATGATGCAATTCACTACAATTATACCGAGAACAAATAGCATATATGAACAATATATTTGGAATTTTACACCAATACAATACAATACAGACAATTTTGGAATTATCAAAAAGGTATGCCTTTTTCCCATTAAAATGTCCCAGTGAACTTAAATTCATAAAATAGCTCTATTGTACTGATTTGATTGCAAGGTATGTGACATAACAAAGTGCTGATAAAATATCGAGATACTACAAGAACTCAAAATCTAGTGGTGGACAAATTCTAACTACATTTATGAAATCAGCACCATCATATTACCTCAAACCACAATTTTTTCCAGTAGTAATGTCTTTGTTTTCCAGTGTAATATGAGAAAAATATATTTTGTGTTTTTTTTTAAAATGTTAAAATCATTAGTTTTGTTTAAAGTCCATGTGACTATGCTACTAGGTAAATGGCAATAATATTTCGTATGCATCAGTTATAAAACCTAAACAAGACAAATAAGTTGGAAAAGTTTGTAGTTGAGCACGAACGTGCCTTGCAATGTTGAACATTTGTTCTGAATACTGTTTTTTTACGTAACATTAGCTATGTAAGAACACTATATAAAGTACCAAAATAAGGTAATTTGTCACTTGAAAGTAGAGACAAAACTAGGTACAACAATTTCAAATTTTTCATAATTTGTAACATTTAATTTTTCTCGACGAATATGTATATATTTGTATGACATTTGCCTATATAATCATCTCTGAACTTGAGCAACAGTGTTTTTATTAGGAATTAATTATGGAAGAAACTGTAAAGTAAAGAATCTCCACAACAAAGGAACCTGAATAATTATTAATGTATTAATGTTCTTGAATGATATCAAGACAGCTTTATACCATTTCATAAGAACTGTTATTTCATTCTATATGTACAGACAGTTTTCAGTTATAAAGTTATCCTTTTGTGAATTTTCATTAGGTTTAATTTAATTCCTGGGTATCTCTACAATTTACACTACATTTTCTTTCACTACATTAAACATTATTACTGATCTATGTACTCAAATGTTAATAAATTGCATCTACATAAATATATGTGTGGCATAGTTTTGTTTAACCTAATTCTAACTACATTAGAAGAAACAAAATTACCTGTAACAAAGATTCCCTTGATTCACAAATGCATTTCAAATAAGTAGGAAATTATAATTAAGTATGATCATGCTTCGTCGGCTTTGAATAGGCATTCACACGATAAAATATAAGAAATTAATCACAAGAATGTGACGAAATAGAAACAATCTATACTATTATTCTGCTTGTTTGTATGTACGACCGTTACGCTTTCTGACCGAGAAC